AACATTTCAGTTAGGCAAAATGTTATTATAAGTAAACTAGACTAGAGATACAACACATACAGATAACCAATTTATAACTATAACCAAATTACATGGCAATCAATATATGGGTTTTTCATAATCGAACAAAATTCTTATGTTTCATATATTTGCTAAAATCTTTAATAGACCTTTTGGCAACACAACAACAAATAGTAAGGCAAAGGATGTTTATTTATACGCACATTACAGTAGCAAGACAATTTAAAGTGCTGAGGGGAATAGGAGAACACACGGAAAAGTACATTGCGAAATAACTAAATAAAAATAAAATGATTTATATTTAAATAAAAGAATATTTGAATTCAAACTTGTATTAAACTTTTTAGATAGCAGAGTCAAAGTCCACCCTAAAGAAATATTTTTAAATTTCAATTCAAGGCAATTTAGGGTTTCAGGGGAGAATAAGAACTAAAAGCTTTTGCTCCATGTTCATGGTTCTGTGTATGCCTAAGACCTGAGCGGTCTGGGTGATGAATACACCCGACAACTCTGTATTGTATTTTGGTGCTAAGCCCTTCAGTGATTAATAGACTGAGAGAAATATTTTTAAGTAAATTATATTAGATATGGAAAACCAGTGTAAGGACTTCAAATATAAAGACTAGGGTTATATGCCCCACTTTCTAGGTTTTGGTGAGAGCCTGAACAGCAGCAATCTGGATCCTCTGCAGATGGCTGATCAAAATGACATATGAATACTGCAAACCATCACACAGTAATCAATTCTTGAAGATGAATGCATTATTTAGTTTCTTCCTTTAATCCTCAAGATATTCCTTAAGTAATAGATGGTTGAGTTTGTCACAGCCTTTATGTGCCTCTAAAGTTTCTGCTTTCCACCCAGATTTTAAGCCTGATTGGTGGTTTCTAGCTATATTAACTGAAGCTATGTGTTTAAATCCTCTTCCTTTAGTCCAGACACTATTACTTAAGCTCAATGGAGTTAATTAAAACCAAGCGTTAACATTGCATTAACAAATGTTGACATACATAAAACACGTTACAACGGGGGAAAATAGCTGTTGTTAAGAACCTGCAAATAATAAACTCCAGAAACAACAGCAAGAATTCAGCACAAGATCACTTTTCTAACTGAATGATCACTTTTTCCCTCTGTTTTCTGAGTTTAATGAGGAAAACCTACCCCCTGTCTGGCCACAGTCAATCAAATCTTTAAGCATGTTCTGCCAACCAACATCGAGTAACCAGCTGCATGACCCGCCCCCAGTGCGCCCTGTTCCATAAACCAGATAAGAGGCTTAGCCTCATTGGAAGTGATGGAACTTTGTGTGTTATCTTTTCTCTCGGGTTGCCTCATTGTACGGAGGCTCAGAGGAGATTTCACATAGAGACTGAAAGAGACCTGATCCTGCCACTCCAGGGCGGAGTGGAGATTGTGTCACAGAATGCATTCAACAGCTGATCAATGCCTTTGCTTATGGAACCAAGGAAAATTTTGTGTACATTTAATTTGAATTAATGACTACATTTATGTGCCTGTCCAGGGTGTAGCTCGCCTCTCGCCCGTAGACAGCTGGAGATAGGCACCAGGACCCCTCATGACCCCAGCTGGGATAAAGCATGATGGAAAATTAATGGATGGATGGATGGATACATCCATAACAATTATTTTATAAAATTTACAAGGACGGTTTAGTCTCCCTAGTATTCAATGTGAAATCTCCACTGCTAAAATGGAAATACCACTGCTAAGATGCTAAAATACCATAAGGGCTATGTCTACTTTCTGATGTAAACTTATCTTTTGAAAAAAAAAAAAACATCCCTGTCCTTAAAGTAGGATTCAAACCAGTTGATTTTTTTAATTAAAAATGCCGACCCATTTTTCCAGGTTTTCCAATAAAATGGAGAGATCAACAGTGTTAAATGCTACACTAAGGTCCAATAATACCAGCGCTGTGGTTCCTTCACAGTTTGCATTTATATAGACATTACTGAACACTTTGACAAGGGCTGTTGTGAGCACAGAAAGCCTGGAAGAGATTAAACCGGCTAGTCATCGTTACGAACGTGTTTAACTGTTGATAGACAGCTTTTTAAATATCTTACTTATGAAAGGGAGGTTTGAGATGGACATTTAATTGTGCAACAGCAGCTTGTCCAAGTTGCTCTTTTTCACTGTGGTTTGAGCATTGCTGTTTTTAGCTGCCTGGGTGAAAGCATCTGAAAAAAGTAAAGGTGGCCATAAGTTGAATCAGATACTATAGCAGGCAGAGCTATCTTAAGAGTAGATATGAGTAAAACATGGAGACAGTATGACGAAAAGCTTAATTAAGCATATCTCTCGCACTTAAATCTCCAGGTTAACGTAAATTTTTCAAACACTGGTCGACCAGCTAAGAGTCAGCTCCCTTCCCATTGGCAGAAAAAAAGGTGGGTCTGACCCCCCACTGGCAAGCTCTCTGGTGACCCCATCATGCTCAGCTGGAGTTGAAGATGTCACCAGTGCAACAGAAACGAGAAAATTAAACAATGGAGAGTTGTTTTGGCTTGTTATATCAGCTGCGATTGGCGCAATGTTGTGACATATGTACATTGTGCTCAATGGTATCATATATTAATGGATCGACACATGTCTGATTTTCACACAGTATGCCAATCGGAATTGAACTATTGAAAGCCATTTTAAACAGTTGCTTGCCAAGTCATTTGATCAAAGTTGACACGGGTCAGTGAGTTGTTCCCATTGCCACTAAAAACAGGTTTTTATTTGGTCTGTGGGAAAGGGGTATTAGTATGTGTTTTTTTTCTTAGTTTTGCAGTTTATTTGGTGAAACTGGGAAATTATGTCAAAAACAGATCTAGTTGTAGAAATTCTTTTTACAGGACTTGGTAGGGATATGCAGACTCTACCTTTTGTGTTTTTTCAGTGAGGAAGTTAGAAACAGTTATTGCAGGCCATGGAATTTAGATGCTATATTACAGGGAGGTTTGCTAACTTGTTAGCCTTTCAACCATGGCAAAATAAGGCATGAGAATTGTTAATGTTTTTGCTGATGAGCTCAGAAAAGATAGATTCTCCATTTTCCAGTTGTAAGTTACATCAGCTGAGTCAGTCTTTCGCCACCTGTGTTTTGCCTCCCATACTCCCCTTTTTTCACTTCTGAACAGTGGAGCATTTTTCCACGACTTTCTTCCTTCATTTTAATTGTTTTAGTAAGGACCTTCAATATATTTGGAGCAAATTAATCAATGAAGACAAAAATATTAGAATTTAAATTATCTACCAGATCATCTACAGAGTTGGGGGCAAAGTGGAGGTAGAAGACTAAATCTTGTTAAAGGTTTAACTACAGTAACAACATTCATAAATATGCGTTTTCTTATAAGGTCTCTTTGGCTAAATTATTTCAACGAACATTAGTAAAAGGCATGTTTTAGACCCCTTTCGATGATTGAGTCAAAAATATGTCTCTGTTATGTTTCAGTCTCAGTTTGTACATCAGCTGTTTCACATGATGAGTTAAACCAACGTTTTCTACAATTATCACATTGCATCTTCACGGTTATCAATGTGAATGTAGAAATCTTTAACTGGAAACCCAAATATCCACAAGACTGAAATTTTAAGTTCTTTTTTTTTTTTTATAATAAAGAAACTAAGCCTTTGCTTTGCTGTCTGCTCTTACAACATTTTTTTTTTTTAGTTTGGATGCACCAAAACCATTATGATGGGTTCTTCATTAAAGTTCATGTAACCTGGTCTCTATTAAAACTGAACATGGTGATAATATATTTCGTAAGGAGGATAATTTCTGGTGAAGTTAGCAATGGGACCCAGTTTTTATCACAGACTGTAAGTATTTATCGTTAAAATATTTGAAATAAATTAATTTTCCTTTTTAAAATTCACAGTTGTGCATTCCTACTCTACATATAAATAATATCAAGAATTTGCAGTAGGACTTTACACCAATTGTTTTGATATGATCTCCACTTATTTTTACTGGGTTTACTTTGTAAAAAGCAAATTATTCAGTCTTTATGTCTGTAAAGATGGTAGATCCGCCAAAACAAAATAGTTAAACTCACATCTTCTGCAACTTGAAATTTCCATAAAATACAATGAAGATTGGAATGAAATGGGAGAAAGTGCTAAGAAATAAGGGTTATTAATACCTTTCTGCAAGGTATTGTGCAGGTGTGACATTATAACCAAGGAGGCAACTGAATGTTGATTTAAAGAGAGAGCAGAGGGTTAAAATGCCCTTCACATGGTCTGTGGTTTTCCTGTGTGCTGATATCTGCTTCAACAAGATATCAAGTGACTTCTGATAACACACCACACAACGGAAAGGGGTCTGCCTTGCAATCCTGCTCGTTTACCCAAAGAAACAGCATCACAAATCAAACACAAGAAACACAGGCCAGCATACACTTCGAGGAGCAGACAGACAAACAGAAGAGCATGTAGAAGGGCAGGATTAGTCCCTAATGGGATTGGCAGACCAATGAAAGACGCTGTAATCAAACATACACAGTGGCTGTTGCAAAATCTGGGCCTGGAACAAAAGAGGCAAAGAAAGGAAGAAGAGCTAATCACAGAAAGCAGTGGTCTTAAGAGGACTCTGACTTCACAGCGAACCATGGAAACATTAACCAATAGGAACATCACATGTATAGTGATGTATTTGAAATCATTCTGTTTAGAAATTACTAGAACTGACTCCTAATTTATGCATGCACTGCTTGTGCTGGATGATAAATATTTACAGTGGGTGGCAGTAAGATCAGCATTTGTGTCACGCCTGCCTAATCATGCACAGCATGTAAACACACACTTGATTATTTAATCTGAGTATTTAGGTTAATAGGAAATCTCTGAACATGAGTTGGTCACACTCATACCACCTGACACTTAAAGTACACATTCTGATGTATGAGAAAGACATCAAATAAAAATAAAAAAGACAGAATAGCTTAAGAAAAAGACTAACCTTTACAGAAGCAAGAATGCAGCTCAATTTCTGTTGACGCATCCTCTGCATTTTGCTTCCAGAAGCTAAAAAGGGGAGTATGGCTGGGTGTTCTGCAAAGAGAGGGTCAAGAAAGAAAAGGACATGTGTGTATCGGGTTGAAAACCAGCCTCAGGCCTGACTTTTATTGGTCCTCTTCAGAGATTTTAGGCCAAAGCCATTATAATGTGTCGCTTTGTTTTCCCTTTATGTGCAGAACTTTAAATTATTAAATTATCTAACTGGAAAAAAATGAGTCTTTTGACATTTTATTTTCACTTCAGATTGTGCAAAGGACTGAACTGAAAATTAGAGATGCATTCTTTAGAGATCTGTGTGCTGAACCTTACCTTGAACGGTTGAAAGGATCCCCATTCAATCAACTCCATTCTGAAAACCTAAGCCAGTGGTGACTGCCAGAGACCCTGCTCAGGTTTTACCTCTAAATGATGACAAACAAATCTATAGAACAACCTTGGGAAGCCAAATGCTGTCTAACCAACACTGCCCTTCTACTAGTTCCCAATTTTATTGAAAGTCATTGTCACTAAGCACTAAAATAAAGTTAGGAGAACCAGTTAATGATTACAAATCAGCTCACGACTTCCGACAAATTGGAAGATTTAATTCCTTTCTCTGTTATTTATATGAAGTGTTATATTGGAAACCAGTTTAGACAGCTTATGGCAGTAGAGCAGCAAACTAGGTTTTATGGGGAGTGTGGCCTAGAGGTTAGGGCATTGAGCTTGGAATCCTGAGGTTCTGAGTTTGATCCCCACTCCCACAGACTGGCACTCTGGGGTCTCTGAGCAAGACCCTTAAACCAACACTGCTCCCCAGGCGCCCAACAATGGCAGCCCACTGCTCTGCCAAGGGGATGGGTTAAATGCAGATGTAAATTTCTCAAATGTGTGATCAATAAGATTAATTATTATTCCTATCTTTATCTCTGGGAGGAATTTGGCCTAAGGTAGAGACCTCTTACTTTTTAAACACTCATTTAGCTGTACTTTTAAATGCAACAGTTCCTCAGAGAACTAAAGAACCAACGCTGCTATACAGAGGGTGTAGACCAATGTCAGAATAAACTGCAGAGTGCAAACATTTCTATAGAAGCAGGTAGCAATGGAGGACATATTTAAATATGATTTATCAGCAGTTAAGGTCTTGGGGGAGCAATGGATGCAGACAAACCCTCTGTTGGCATGTATTGTTTGAATTTTATGTTCAGCATTCATTTTCTGTGGATTTGCGTGTCAGGATTGAAAGACCTGAAACTACTGCAAACACAGCAAGAATTTTTACACCTTCTGGATACACAACGCTGTGTTTTAGGGGAACAGATTTATGCATGTTCGCAATGCAGCATGTGTGTGCTCTCACCCTTGTGGTCTTGATCTTGTTCCCAGATGAGCACATCCATCCAGAGTTGTCAGGCAGAGTCTTGCACTCCTCTCCTTCCAGACACGGTTCCATCTCACACCACCACTTCCCAATTACAATGGACGCTGCAAAGGGTCAAATGGAGCCATAGAAATTTAGTCTATTACATACATATGCACAGACTCTTGTAAAAATATTTATACAAATGGAACATCTCCACATTATGAAACAATTGCACACTTTAAAGTCTATTTATAATATTAAGATAAATAGAGACATACATACTCATAAATACTGTGTGGTTAGGCTACTTTGAGAATTTAATACTGATCTTTACAGAAGCCCTCCTGGCACTCTGAGCTTGAGCTATTTTGCAGGGAATAAAGAAACAGTATCTACAGTAGAAATGAAATGCAGGTTCAGACATTTAGCTAACACCCGGAGCTCTGTTTGATAGAGTTACTGTAATCATAATACCTCGATTGGAAGACTGGAAAATTTGGCACAATTGTTTGGTTCTTTGCTAAACTGGTTCAGATCTTATTTGTCAGGGTGAAATTGCTTTGGGCCATCTGGTAAATAAGTAAAGGAAAACACTTGTGAGGGTACTTTAAGGTGTTATAACCAATTTTTCCTTTCCTACCACATTAACACTATGCTTTATTTTGTATGCTTTATGCAAACATATTATTTGTGCATATTAGACAGTTTTTAGCATGCATGAACTCACTACATTATGAGTATCACCACATGAGAGCTTTGCCATCTTTCTAAATTATTGTTTTTCCTCCTCTTTGGCCTCTGAGCAGTTGTAACCTTGCTGCCTGGGTAGTTTTGCTGTACGCAATAATGTCTTCAGCCAACAAAAATTAATCATTATTTTGTTTTGAAATGGCTCCATTGTAAGTAAGGGAGCGATCTCATTTTTAATCAAAACTAATTGCCTCTCATTAACATCTACTAGATTCTTCCTGAAGCTGCTTGACAAAAACAAATATATTCTCTGTTTCTCATCAAACATTCCCCCCTATTCTGTTTTTCTTGAGTGTCTCTGGATGTGTGCACTCATGTTCATGTGTGTTTTCTCTTTCGAATATATGAATATATATAGGTCAGTATCTGGGATTTCCATTAAATGTTTTCCTACATTTTTAACATAGATTCTTCGTTCTAAAGCATCAAAACAGACTTTAAACTAAGCACTAGACAACTGGAAGCTTTTACTCATATAGAGAGGATATGCAAACATCACTTTAAAGCCTTGTCACACATTCTTGATTTGTTCTTTTTTGACTAAACTATGCCGTCTAACTTCGGCCATATGATTTAATATGATTGTTCTACTGAAAGTTGAACCTTTGCATCCGTCTCACCCTTCTCATAATTTTCTGTCTCAGCTGACGTAAAGCATCCCAAAAGGATTATCTTATTTTATAGTGAAGTCAGTTTGTTCATATTCAAATGCAGTATTTGTTTTTTCTACACTTCTTTTGCATGAAGGCCAAAATTTGAACAGAGCTTTTGTGAACAGACCTTCTTCCACGTATTTGCTCTGTCCCACCCAAACAGGAAATTACCTGTACTTACAGTATATAGCGCCTTTTGAAATCTGAGGATTCCAAAGTGATGAAAAGTTGGTGGCCGTGTCTTAGGTTTACAGCTACAGCAAAAGCCAAACTTAGCAAATAATGAGTTAAAACAGCCCTCCATAAGATGTTCAAAACATGAGATATTGTCCCAAAGAATAAATGTGTTTTTAGCAAATCGATGCACTCATTTGATTTAGGGGAATCAGCATTCGAGAAGCTGAAAATAACTCCATGTTAAGGTTTTCACTTTTTTTTTTTCTTTTTGTAAAACTTTTCGAAAGCTATGAATCACATCCGTTCGTTCCACTTAATAGTTTAAAGAAAATTTGTCTTTCATATAAAATCCCTATTCAAATCGCTGAATTATTTGCCTCTAACTTGGCGAAATATGTGAATATTTTAAGGGAAAGAATACTTGAACAAAATATTGCAGGGGAGTTGCATGTATGTGGGACAAAACATTATTATCACATCATAATGCCCAATTTCATAGAACTTTAGACGCTTTAATTATTTTTTTAAAATCAAAATGTTCTACAATGAGAATTTCTATCAGAAATAAATCAGAGCAAAATTCTAAAGCCTGCTATCATCTTCACTTTTGAATTTGTTTCTGTTTATTGTGCTCCTCCACTTGAGCTTTTTGACAGCAGACATAAAGACTTCAAAGCCTATAGTAATTTGTAATTCTACTCTTTTCTCCTCAGCAGAATCTTTTCCAGCAAATTGGATGCTTAGAACACATGCCTGCCACCAACATTTAGAATAATCAGTTCTTCTTTTATTATCTTCACCAACAAGAAGATGTGTACTTCAAACTGTAGTGTGATTGGAAGAAGTTAAACTAGTGCAGAATCATTTTATGTTTTTCCAAGTCTTCTAAAGAAAAAAAAATGAAATATTTAATTACCCCCCAGCATCTGTTGCCAAGGTTACAGACCAACTACTAGAGGAATACAGTATAAGTAGGAGAACCACAAAATAAATAGGTGCCCACATATCATATCTCAATTCTGGTAAAAAAAAATAAAAAAACCTAGCTATTGAACTTTTTGCCTCTACACGCATAACAAACAGAACATTTAAAGTATCTTATTTGGATATTTTCTTATGGAAAGGACATTAGTACACAGTTGTTATTTAAAAAGGAAAGTATATAGTTTGAAAAATGTATTTGCAAACAAATCGATGCAAACAGCCTATTTTATTCCTCAATAAGATGCATCCATCTGCCTTCAGAAGTCATTTTATGGGAATTATTCAGCATAATTTGAACATCACTAAAGCTGCTCTGTGATTCCCCAAAAGTTTGTCGAAAAAACTGCATCACACCAGGAAAACCCAGATTTCACATTTACTGTGTGCTAAGTATTGAATTTATAAGGTTTTCATGAGGTTTCTAACAAGATTTTGTAAGAAAATGAAATAATGCATCAGGGACAGGACCACACTGTCTCACGAGGAACGCAGTGCATAACCCAAAATATCAGCCTTCAAAAAAATATTAATATCAACGAGTGTGACTGTTGTGGGCATGAGACCAAAGGACTGAAAATGGGTTTGAAGAAGTCAAAGGACACATGTCTAAAGCAAAACATTATGCAGATCAGCAAAAACATAATACAGAATAATATTTGACAGAGTTCATGTTCAGTTACTGAATAAATAAAAAAAACAGTATCCATGCCTTTATCATATATAGTAATACAATAGTGTTTTGAAGCTTTTTTTCCCTTCTCATTCCAGGTTAAAGATGTTCTTTATCAATATTGGGGATATATTTACTAAGGTCACACTAAAACATTTTTGTTTCAATGTTCTAAATAGCACAGGGCTGCCCAGTAAAGCAGTGGCTAGTACTGCTGCCTTGTAGCAGGTCCGATTCCCCGCCCGGGGTCTTTCTGCATGCAGTTTGCATGTTCTCCCTGTGCATGACTGGGCTCTCTCCGGGTACTCCAGCTTCCTCCCACCGTCCAAGAACATGACTGTTAGGTTAATTGGCCTCTCTAAATTCTCTTTAGGTGTGAGTTTGTGCGTGAATGGATGAATGCCCTGTTTGTCTGTGTTTCCCTGTGACGGAATGGCGACCTGTCCAGGGTGTACCCCGCCTCTACCCCTTTGACAGCTGGAGATAGACACCAGCATCCCTCGTGACCTTGACATTTTTGGTAGTGCCCTTGTAAGTCACATTTATTTATTCTCCTAAACAATCCATAGTTATTTGCTACAGTGTTTATTTACAGCGACCTTCACATGATCACAATTACAAATCTACAGCTAACATAAAAAGATTTTAGCTGATGATAACATCAGAGGCTAACAACAACCACATTCATTCCTAAGTGCAACTCTAAGCTATGCGACCAGTTTTACAAGCAACATGCTTTCCACACGGTCTAGAAATAAAAACCTTTTTCCTAGCCATTTGATGCCAAATTTGGGGACATTTACAGGGCCAGCTTCTGCCAGGTACAGTTAATTCAAAATGGGGACGTTGGTCATGTTATCCTGGGTGCTCATTTTTGCAGCTAAAACTTACCCTGTTTGAGCTTGACAGCTAGTCAGTACAGCTTACAGCTACAGGGCACAGGCTCCCTGTCTGTAGTGTACGTCATTGCTAATGTAGCCAGTGTGCCGGTGCTCTTTCTGTTCTGCTTGACACGCCTGGAACTTTATAGTCGTTGACAAACCCTGTACCTGCAGACTGCAGCGTGTACCGAAAAGCCGGAAATGCTATTGAATAAAACTATATCACCATATGTATTGATTTTAAAACTATTGTCCGGTGATTGTGATTAATAATTGTGATTAATTAAGTTTGTATTGTCATTAATCCATTGTCAATCATAGTGAAGACCATTATGAGTCCTTACGCCCCCCATGTTCCCTAGTCCACTGGGCATCACCTCCATTAGGTGCATTTTTTAAAACACCATATGTGGGCATAGGTAAACTTCCAGAGCGGGATAAGTTGTTTGTCAAGTGCAACTTGAGTGGGAGTTTTGACTTTACATCTTTGCATATGGTTAGCACTTTGCTGCCATCTAGCTCTAGCAGTTGTTCCCTATAAAGCCATTTTTCTGTATTTTGCATACTTATACCTACAATTACATTTTTCTTTTTATATTTAAACTTAGCTCTATTTAATGTACAACCTACTTAAAAAGCAAACAATAATATGTTGTATTTAATAACTTTAGGCAGTAACGGTTAATTATGGCAATGATATTCAGCTTACTATTTGACACAGCTGCTAAAAGTAGCCACACACAACAAAAATCAAGCTAGGATAACTTTGCAACACTGTTGAAATAGGTTCTAGTTTTTTCCAAACTGTGGCTTGTTTATTGCCACAACAGACTTAGAACACCTCCACCTTGACCAGTGGAGAAGTGTCTATTTTTCGGCTGGAATCAGTTTCCTTAATCTCTAGTGACCATCAGCTCTGACGGCATGGCCTTTGCTGCAACAATGGACAACTTGACTATTCCTGTGTGGCAAACACAGGCAAATCTTTTTTTCTGACTGATGGTTAA